CTCTCTCTCTCTCTCTCTCTCCCTGTCTTTTCTCGTTTTGTTTGCCAATCGTCAATTCTGCTCCAATTCTCCAGCTGTTAATTCGATTGGCGGACTCACCAATCGACGGTACTCACGTCGCCGAATGCGCATCCATACTTCCCGACGTAGCGATCGTTCTTGCTCATACTTCGTTATGGCATCGCGAGCAGGCCCGTGGCCGACTTACGAAAAGAACCGTTCCTCACGAATCGGGCAATCCGCACTCAAAACCACCAACCAAAGGCTCGTTTTTCTCGGAGCGCGAAACGGTCGCGGCCACACGCAACAGCTCGCTCGCGCGAATCGCCGTAGGAACTGGCCAGTTTAGATCGAGCAGGAGAGTTATTATCAGCGCTTATCAACCACGACCCCTGACCAATCGGCCAATAAACTGGCCTCCTCCCCACCGGGGATATCGTCGAAAATTTTCGGAAGTCCCGTCGATCGTAAACATCTATTTCCTCTTTGGTATTTATTACATCTCGCGATGAGAGATGAGATTATCGTTATCTAGCTTTATTATAAACTGTGACTATAATTAATAATGTGTAAATGTGTACGGACCGAGAATGCCTTTAATGCACAGAAGTGGATGTTGTAAATAGTTTCTCGATTAAAGCAGGATTTTTCCCATTTTTCTAATTTTTATAAATTCAGGATATTTATTTTGGCCGTTAATTGCGTGCTTTTAAGAATCTTCAAATATAGCGATCCGATAAAACCGGAATTATGTATCTCTGCGGTAAATAATTTAAATTTAAAGATATCAATTTCCAATAAAAATTCTCAAAGATTTATTGCAGAAAAATACCAGCCAAAATTTGAATCTAAAATTTTTACTATTCAGATATCTTAAAGGCAAACACTTTTCAGTTCGTATAAATTAAAAAATTATTAAGCCTCGAAGATTCTTCCTTGATTGCGAAACGCCTAAGTTATGCATACATAAATGATAAAAATAAATTATCATTATAATATGCAGCTAATTTCTACAAGCTGAATATTTTGTAAAGTAATTATTTTAAAAAATAACGCTGATAACGTTATTTTTAGCTATGCGTAAAATGACGGAAGGCATTGCAACGAATTCGCGATGAAAATTACGTGATATGCGCTTCGTAAGAACTCGATGACGGCAAGACGATGAAGGAAAGTCCGGGATGCGGTGCCTTGTATACCTTCGAGAAAATATTACGACACACTCGCGTTCTCCGTCGTACGTATAATCGTATCTTGCGTAACTCCCTCTATATTATTTTTGCACGTGAGGAGAGGATACGTACGATTATGCAAATCGCGAGACATTCCAAGGATCATTGTTCGCCATCGCATCCTATCCCAAGTAGCCCACTACTATCCTAGCGATTGACCGTAA